TATTAGCTAAGCAACCATACCTGTAATCCTATTGGTTGATTATAGTTTGACCCATGTTGTACCCCTGCTTCTGACTTTGCTGTATAAATTACCCCTGACAAAGGGCCTCAGTGACAACCCACTTCTGTGACTCCTCTTTTCTCTCAAGAGCTATCTCTCAATATACCTTTCCTACTCTTAACCTCCTTTATTCTGTGGAATATGTTCTTTGATTTCAGGGTACATGAATTTGGCACATCTGATATCTAGCAGGTTGGGAGTTATATTTCTCTTACATCAGCACTTTAGAAGAAGTGAAGCAGTGGGCATTGCTCTGAGCAGTGAACAACCAGCAAGAGGCTGTGTTCTACAATCTTAAAACAAATAAGGCTTTATCCTTTGCTAATGAAGATGTATGTGTAGGGCAGTGCATTCAAATTTCACAATGTGTTCAAGTCTTCCCAGCTTTTATTTTTTATTAGGCCCTTTTGAATTCAGTTTTCTTCTAGTTCCTAGTTCACTACTCCCAGAACCCTTGTCATTTTTTAAGTCCTTAGAATAATGTTGAGGTACTTTGGACCTCAGATTCAGCCTTCAAAAAGCTGTCTCTCTCTTTCTTTCTCTCTCCTTCTCCATCCCTCCTTCCTTCTTCCTCCCTCCCTTTCCTGAGTCATTTTTCCCCCTGAGGTAGGAAACAGAAACTAGAATTTCTCTTCCCCAAGGTAGATCATGGAAACTATAATCTTCCCCTACTTTTCTTAAAGCTGCCCATAAAATTTTCTGACCTACTTTCTCAGATAGTAGGTCATGAAATCCTTATTCCAGAAGGGTTTTTCTTCATATGCATGAGGCAGAAATGCTGAAGAATTTGAACAGACAGACCTTGGTGGGTGTCCTCCTCCATCTCTCAGCAATCATGTGTACACAATGAAGTCTTCATAAAAACCCCAAAGAACAGGATGTAGTGAATTTCCCAATAGCTGAATGTGTGAACATTCCTCGTAGGTGGTATGCCTGGAGAGGGCATGAAAGTTCTGTGCTTCTTCTGCCATACCTTGACCTATGCATCTCTTTAGCTTTCTCCTTTGCAATATCCTTTATAATGAACCAGTAAACATGTTTCTAATGTCTGTAAGCCACTGAAGCAAATTAATCAAATATAAGAGAAGGTTGTGAGAGTCCCAGTTCAGAAGCACAGGTAAAACAACCCAAGGCTTGCGATTAGCATCTGAAGTGGTGGTGAAGCACCCTTGGGGACTGAACACTTAATCTGTGGGATCTGATGCTATCTCTAGGCAGTGCCAGAATTGCCTTGAGTTGGAGGTTACTCAGCCTGGATCTCTATAAAATTGCTTGTTTGCTTACTGGTGGGGAGTAATTGACACCTATTCTGGGATCACAAAAGTTATCCAACAATCAACATGGGACATAAAACCTTTTTCCCAACTCAGTGTCCTAAGCACGTGCACATAGTCTCAGGAGTGGTCAGGAATTCCTGAATCACTTGGGGGCATATCTGGCCTCTTCTGCATAACCTCAGCCTGAAATATAGGGTTGTTCAGCTGGAATCACAACACTAGTATAGCAAGTCTAAGCTCTTGACATTCTCCCTCTGCCCAGCATCCAGGCTGTCATTTCTGTTTTTTGTTTTTTTGTTTTTTTGTACTGGAAATCAAACTCAGGACCTTGTGCTTGCCAGGAAGGCACTTGTTCCTCCGAGCTACATCCTTGATCCAAGGTTGTACTTTCTGTTTAAAATGTTTCTGGAATGAGCATTGCCTACACCTTTAAATTGAGTGAGATTTTCTTCAGGGTACAGAGAAGCAGTCGATTCTCAAAACACTGAAGTTTTCAACCTTTTAAAATTACCTTTAAGGGGCTGGGGATTTAGCTCAGTGGCAAAAGCGCCTGCCTGGCAAGTACAAGGTCGTGAGTTCGGTTCCCGGTACCGGAGAAAAACAAAAAAACCCAAACAAACAAAAAAATAAAATAAAATTACCTTTAAAAAATTGTTTTAAAAATTTTAATTTAAATTACCTTTAAAATAACCTTTAAAAATTTTAAATATTGTGTTCATTCTTAAGTCCTTTTGATTCATCTATTTGTAAGTGGTAATTGCTAAAATAATTAGAATAGTATTAAGTGATGTAATTCCTGAACTCTTGACATGCCTTTTTACCAAACTATGGGAGACACTTCACGAATATACAATTTGTAGATCACACTCACCTCCTTCAACAGATGCAGCATTGTCTTTAGAGTTTTAGAATAATTCCAAGCCCTTTGATTTTTGTTTGCAATCAACTTACTTTTCCTGCTTGTGTCCTTAAAACATCATCATAAGTTTAATCAAACTATTCAGAACAGGTCAAGCTGAAAGGGTATGTGCTCAGAATCATGTTAGGATTATCAACTGTTTCTGGCAGAGAACCTTGACTGTGAGAACTTGTCTAATCCACAGGATCTCCACATTTTTGGGGTAGAGAGGTACATTTTAGCTCTCTACATCTGAAAACACATTAGATGAGGTACAAAAACATGGGGGTTATACTGTATATACCCTTGGGGGATATAAGAAATGATGATGTAGTAAAAATGAAAAACATAGAATGACAAATCCATAAAAACAGTCTTTAAAAGGTTTAATTTACAGAGGAAGAACTGGAGGAAATATGAGCAGTTTGGATAGCAAGAAGTCTGAGAATAAAATGTGTTATGTAGTCAGCATTCCACCTGATCATGTTCCCATTGCTTGTAGAGTTAACTCTAATAAAAGAAATCTCAGCACAACTTTCAGTAAAAACGAATATACTTTGCATTACTATATGAAAATGATTAGCATGTTTTACTAGCTCCTCAATGTATGAACTTGGTTTAGTTAAATAATAAATGACATAGTTGTAGATCTTGGCTAAGTACTAATGAGTAAAACAAATAAAAGGGAAGAGAGATGAACTGAAGGTAGGCTAGAGAAAAAAGCAGAGAGAAAGGAGGAGAGAATAAAGACAAAACATATAAATTTTAAGAACTACATAAATTTCAGTGAGGAGAGGTAAAGTGAACTAAAAATGTTTTCCATAATTTCCAAAACTTGAAGCAACAAGTTTTGGGGAGGTGAGTGGTAGATCCTCACATGGAGCATTATTTAACCTTAAAAAAAATGGGTTAGCAAGCCATGAAAGACATGGAGGAAATGTATGGTAAACAGTAAGTTAAAGAAGCCAGTCTGAAAGGGCTCTATGTTATATGTGTCATTTACTCTTAATTATCAACTTCACTGGATTCACAGATCTCTGGAAAGGTGACTGCGTCAGGGGAGGACTAAACTCATCAGTGGATTAGTCCACTGATGTGCACAGCTGAATGTGCTCTTAGAAAGTGGGGTCACTTGGGCTGTGCCTTGGGAGGGTCTCTCTCTCACTGTCACTCTTCTCTTGTGCTTGCTTCCCAGCTTTCACGGAATGAGAAGCCTGGCTCTGCCCTGCCCTTCTGTCATGACATTTCTGCCTTGGAGTCAGCCAACCGTGGACTGAATGAAAGCTCTCAAACTGTAAGCCAAATCAAACCGTCTCCTTTAAGTTGCAGGTGTCAAGTATTTTGTCCCAGCAACAGGAAAGCTGATTAATACACTAAATGATTTTAGTTATAAGACATTCAGGAAAAGGCAATACTATGGAGATGTAAAAATATTAGCAGCTGTCAGAGGTTAGAAAGAAAAGAGAAATGAACAGGCAGATCACAAATTTCTAGGGCAGTGAAACTATTCTGATGCTACTACAGTGTTGGATATGTGTTATTTCCTATACATATTTTTCAAAACCATAGTATGTACAACATCAAGAATGAATCCTAATGTCAACTATGGACTTCAGATGATGATGCAGGTTCATCAATTATAATAAACATACCACTATTCTGGTGTGAAGCATGCATGGTGGGGTCAGAGGACATAGGGAACTCTCTAAACTTTCTGCTCACTTTTGTTGTGAATCTAAAACTGGTCCAAAATATTTTTGAAAAGAAATTGTACAATATGAAATTCAACTATGATGAAATATTTATCATTTCTTCCAAGTTCAAAAATATTAGTTATCTCAACATTAACTGCTTGTGTTTCTCCTGAAAGCCAAAGAAAATGGCAAAAAAACAATTATTTCATTGAAATAATTATTTAACCTTATCCTAAATTATAGCTTAGTTATGTCAAGAATTAAAGTACTTTTCAACCATAATTTACAGAATATCAGCTAGAAAAGGCTCAGGGATATAATTAAAATGATGGAGATTTATTATACATTAATAGGTTTGATGCTTCACAGTTGGAGACCGCAGTGTGGTAAGATACAGCACTGAACTTTTAGACTCTAAACCACCTCATCTACCACTTGTTAACTAATAATGCCTGAGGTAAGTCACCTACTCTCTGGCTCTTTTCTTACCAATATCACTGTCATAAAAGTTTTTTTAAGATTAAATGAAGACAATATATCACAAGCCTGGCACTCAATAAAAATTTGAAAGTCTCAATCAAATTTAACTTCTTAGGAAAAGAAGAAAGAAGGAGTAAAATATGTACATATATACAAGAATAGCTGGGATAATTGTACTGCTGATGTCTATTGATTTATTGAAAGGAACAGTTAATGCTTAAATTTTTTTCTTGACCAATTTTGCATGCTTATATCTGGTAATCTGAACAACTAATTTGAAGACAACAATATGCAATAGAACAACCACTGGTGAATTCCTACCATCTTGTTTAATGAAGCTCTGCATCATTTCCAATGTTTTTTTTTTACTTTTTTTTTTTTAAATTGTTTGATCAATATTGCATTCTTACATCTGGTAATCCGTGCAACTTCGCTGAAGATAACAATATGTAATATAACAACCATTGTTAATTTCCTTGTTTTGAAATCCTGTATTGTTTTTGTGTTGTTTTGTTTTTGTCTTCAATGTTGTTATTTTGTCATTTTTTCTCTTTAAAATAAAATAAAAAATTTAATTTCTTTTATCAAAAGTTTATTTCCTTCACTTTTAGTAGTTTTTATTTTAACACAAAATAAACACATGCCTTGTAAATGTTATATTTATAGGTCGACATTTCTTCAGTCATCACTATCACTTCCTGAGTCACTCAGCTGCAAATCACTACCTGAAACAAAAAAGAACAAAGCTGTAATTAAAATACACAGATTCTCATAATAACATACGTATAAAACAAGTAACAAAGGGATTCTGTCTAGCTAGCATCTTGTAATTAATAATCAGATTGCTTGTCCAGTAATTTAGTTACATAATTAGTAGATCAATACTATCTGGACAGACAAAAATATATTACTATCAAACTTCAGGATAATTTTAGCATTTATTTTAAGTCTTTTTTACATACTAACAACATTCTTTCTTATATACCATTCACTTATTGCATCAGGAAATGAGAGAATGTTGGGGTTTAGAAGATTGGGCTATTATGTTATTGTTTGTTTTTGAGATAGGGTCTCACTATGTATTCAGGCTGACATTAAACTCACTATACAGCCCAGGCTGGTTTTGAACTTGCAGCAATCCTCTTTCCTGAGCCTCTTGAGTGCTGGAATTACAGGCATGTGCCACCACACCAGCAGGTTCAGGCTATCATTTTGAAAATGGAAACATGTTAAAGTGCAGTCAAAATCATTAATATGTCAAGCATACAAGTATGTTATCATTTATTGCTTTGTACCTCTTCTGTGTGCTGAATCATAGAACTTATCTTTTAGTATATTGTTCATAGTGTTTTGGTTTTAGCATAGTGCCTTCTGGATTTTTCTCTTGTCTTTCTAGATACTATTACATCTTTCTTTTTACCTGAATTTTAGATTATAAACAGTATAACTACCCCATGAATTCTTTTCTAATTACTCATGTTTATATATACTTACGTAAAGTATTCATCAGAAGGCCACTGTTGTCATGAAATCTATTATGACCAGATCTACTATCTATATCAGAAGTCTTGTACTGTGGTATGGCAGACATGGTAGGATGTTCTGAGATACAATTCCCCAGATTAGAAGAAGATCTGCCCGCGTCATCCTCTGATTCACTAGAACTATCCTCACTACTTGATGACGATGAACTTGTGGAATCTGATGAACTATCACAACTACTCATCTGGTCCATTAGGCTAGCTTCTGCCTTTAGTTCTGGAAATAAAAGAGAAATACAGGTACATGAAATACATAATTTTGACTAAAGGTAATAAAATTTGATCACATTAGTTTCTAAGAAATCCTTAATGAAAAATAAAGAAAACCAAATACACTTACACCATCTAAAACATTTTATTTTAAAAGAATTTCTAAATCATTAAGCTACACTTCATTGATGAGACTATAAAATTAAGACATAAGCAGTGTCTAAATTTAAACTCCTCATGTAATTATACCACTGCCCTTAATATACATGTAACTCAAATAATATAGCATGATGTGAACAATTAAAACTGTGAAAATGAAAATTTATTTCAGCAGAAACTGTCTTCCAATTCTTTTCTCTTTCCCTTGCTATACACAATGCAAGTGATACACACAGATGAAATTCATTCTTCCACTAGTTTTACTGGATAACATTTTGATGAAGCATCATTTCAGGTTTCTTCCACTTCCTTAATGAGGATTTAAAATATTCTAAAAATTTTTGAAAAGGCAGTTCCTATTATAACTTTGGTTGTAAGTATTTCTGTAGATAAAAAGACCGATAATGATGATTTTTCTTAGGTTTAGTAAGACACGCAAAATCATAGTTGGAGAGACTTTAGCTACATAATTATTCAAAGTTTTCAAACTATGTAGATATCGAATGGCAAAAGCTTGCTAGCTACTCAGTAGAGTCAAGTCTACAGATTTTCGATCGCTGTTTGTCTTATATGACATGAATGTCAAATAGTTGAACAGAAATTTTTGAGGCAAAAAACCCTGAGCGGAAAAAAAGTAATATACTCAGTTAACGCACTGTCTTAGCATTTAATAACCTTCTTCGCATACTTCTATATTAAGTTAACTGATAATTTCTAGCTTACTCCCTCATTCTCCTAGATACACTTGGCTTTCACCTTATTATTTGACTATGTCTAGTCCACTTACATCCTAAATTCTTTTTT